GACACCGGACTGTCTGGAACCCGGTCCGGACGTCCGGGCGGTTACCATGGAAAGAAACCTACGAATATTTCACAACAAGGAAATGACAAACAAGGAGATCAGGAGCATGTTTAAAACATCCTTGAGAAGAGTCATTCAGGCAGACTGGACGAGGAAGGGCCAGGGTCGTCCGACGAAGTGGTTTGGTGACACCTGGGGCAGAGAAGGTAAGTTGGTGAAATTGGAAGAAGGAAAGTTACTTTGGGACAGATGGTTTGTTGTTTAACCAGGAAGTTGAACCTGGGTTGCTCGGTTCTTTAATCCGCAGGAGGATGGCGGTTGGCTGAGTACGAGGAGTGAGCACCGCTTCAGGTCCATGGGTCCCATGCGGGACCACCCGTCGACTTAGACGGAACTGTAGACGGGTATGGGGGTAGGATAGTTCGTAAGTAGGATACTGTGGCATGTTGCTTTTTGGTTTGTGAGGTTTTGTAGGCTTGCAGCCTTGTTTTGTTTCTCCAGGAGTAGAGTAGCAGGACAGTGGCCTAAATTTGGTCAAATTTTGTTCCTAGAATTTCCTTAGGCTCCTGAGATTGGTACAAGTGTTACTCAAGCAACTGCTCCTAAGCGAAACTGGGTGATGCTCCAAAGATAACTCCGGGTTGAATTGTGAGGTCCCCAGCCTCAATTTAACCTGTTATAATGAGATGTTACGTTGGCAAAAAAAAAAAAAAAAAAAAAAAAAAAACTAGGCTACCAGAGTGGCCCCGGTCACTGGCCCGGCCGTGCCAAAAACAAATAAAAAAAATAAAAATTATTTGTACATTTTTTTTTTTAATTTGGTGAAGAATTTTGATGTGACCCTCAGGCAAACGTTGTTCAGTTTATTTCTCTGCATAACATAGTGTTTTTTTGGATTTTTTGGAAATTTTTTTTTATTTTTTTTTTTTTGCTGGGACCTTCCTTAGTCCTTGCACGGGCTGGCCACCCGGGACCCGGGCGGCCCGGCTGGTAGCCTAGAAAAAAACCTTTTTTATTTTTATTTTTAAAAAATGCTCCATCTATTTGTGGGGAGCAGCACGTGCTGGGTACCGAGCCCAGTGTCACTTGAAGTATTTGTTTGCTCATGCTTTAGAGGATACCAAAGCCATTACCCGGCTTCAGCTGAGAAAGTTTTCAGAAAAAGCTATGCAAATTCATGACCAACTTCTAGCTCTACTTCTACACAATCTTGCCATCCAGATGAGGCAATTGTGAGGCCACTGCCTCTCAGAGCCCCAATCGGCCCTTTTTGGGAGCCTGTCGGCCGCCCTAAGTGAAGGCAGGCTCGACGA